CGTCCTCCACAACTAGACTGAAGAACAAAACGACAGCAACTTGTCTGTTCCCCTTCCCCCAATTCCCCAATAAAAATCTTTTAAAAAAATAAATAAATAAATAAATGAAATGAAATGAAATGAAGGCTGAACAGTAAAGCAACCATACAAATCAAACCATGCTCATCTAGTCAATAAAACACGAAGAAAATCTAGAAGTCATCAATAAATAAACTGAATAAACTCAGTCAGTCACTTCTATTGTCTTTTTGTAAGATCGTCACGGGAATCAGGATTTTGGAAGCTCTCCATGAGTTTTTTCTTCTTGTGTTGAACTTATGTCCCCTTCGCATTGTGACAGAAAGTTCCACTGGAACACCCATCAGAAGAAGAGACAGGCGTGTCAAACACAACCAGGTCTGATGCAAATTTTACTTTCTGCTAAAATTTTTTGAGAGTCCCAAAAGCGTACGTAAAAACCATATTTGTTAAAATAACAATGGTTAAGATTTTTTGAGTAAGACCAACATAAGTAACCACTACCTCGCAACACCCAGATTTCCTGGACGATGAACTCAGCATGGCTATGGCAGAGAAGCTACTATTTGAATGTCTCAGCATCTTTAGCATTCCGGACTGAAGACAGGGGCTAGCAGAGGTCAGAGGGCACATGGAGAGGGGAAGTGGGGTCAGAGGTCAGGAAAGCAACATGAAGAGCTCCTGGCCGTCCCACCTTCCCTCTGGTCATGCTCCCCACCTTTGAACACCACTGCCACCACATCCCTGCTCCTTTCCTCGTTGAGGAGGGAGAGGTGGGAGAGAAGAGAACAGAAAGAAAGAAGGAAATGAAAAGAGTATTCAGGAAAGGATGGGAGAAAATGGCCAGGTAAAGAGAAGGCTTTAAATGGTCCTTGCCTTGCTCTGAAGGTGAGAAAGTGAAATAAAATCGCCAGAAGAAACTCCTTCACGTTTAGCAATTTCAACCAATGGCTTTCGAATATTTGCTTCGATGGAGAAGAGAAAACAGGCAGAAGGAAATGAATGGCTATTCCAAGGAATGTTACATAAAATCACAATACAATGAGGGCTTGTGTGCTTTCTGATACAGGACAATTTGCAAAATTTACCCATTGTGTCTCCTACTATTCCCAACAGGGATTCTCGGCATAGGATGTGTGGACTTCCATAAGCCTGAAAATTTTGCTAATTTTTAAGTTTCTGTGATTTTTCTGGGGACTGTGCCAGAGCTCCCATCGGAGTTTCATGAGATTTCCCAATCCTGCAGATTAAGAACTGCAGATTAAGACAGACATATTTTAAAGCTCTAGTTTTAAAGTTCTCACTTGGCAGGCATTTTTGTGAATCCTTCCCCAGGGTGCTTTCTCCAACAGGATAACAGAGTGACTTTATCAGACTTTCCAGAAGTCCAGATATTGTATATAGTCCTTTCCAGGCAAACATCCATATCCTTTAACCATTTCTCGTAAAATAAGGTTTCAACTGTTTTCACCATAACCCAGTTGCTTCTAAGGATGCACTGGTCTGTCACTTTCTCTCTTGACATATGGTGTCCACAAAGCGAGCATTGTATGTACTCCAGCATAAGTCTGACCAGCATAGCGAAAAAAGGATTACCAGCCTAATTTTGGACACTATGCTTCTGCTGATATAACCTAAGACCACATGACCTTTTTTGATAGCTACATAACCTTTTTGTTTTCCATCAAGTCTTTTTGACAAGCAAATGTCTTCATTTCTCCATATGTGTTACCTCTGAACTCACTTTTCATTTGTCTCCTTATACAGTGATTTTGAGAAGACTAAAAGGGAGAACGTTACATGTATCTCTTAAATTTTATCTTGTTGGATGCAGGAATTGTTTAGCATGTCAGTATTTTAGGGTCCTGATTTCTCCCCAACATAGTAGTTGTCCCTCTCAGGTGCATGCCACTCATGGCATTTTTATTGCATCCTCAAAAGCCTGTCCAAACCACTGGTTTCAATATTGACCAGGAGAAGGAGATCAAGGAGTAGCAGCTCCTCCTGTCTGATGCTGATTTAGGTTGATTGATGAAGCGATGCTTTCAGGTAGAAAGGGATCAACCAGTTGTCAAGCTAGCTGATTATTACATGTGGGCTTTCCAGTTGGGCCAGTTTGGACTTCCCTCAACAGCATGGAGGTCTCAAAGCTGTCAGACTGCTTACATGGTAGCATCCCCAAGAGAACAAGGCAGACGTGTTTCGCATTTTCATGGCCTACCCTCAGAAATCACATAGTTTCACTTCACCCTATGCCATTGGTTGAAAGTCACAACCCACCCAGGTTCAAGAGGAGGGTACATAGACTAGACCTCTTGATGAACAGTGGCAAAGTTCTAGAAGAACAGACATCTTTGGAAAATAATATCTGCCATATACTGATGGGCTTAATCCAATAAAAAAAAACAGCCTGAGCTGAGAAGCCCAGAGTTGACAGTCCCCAAAGAGAACTTGGGTGTTACTGATGGAGAAGAGGGACATGGACAGTGATGAGGAAAGACTAATTCCTCAGTTCTGAGTGACGTGGGCACTAAAGGACAAGTGAAGAAGGGAGGAGGTCGCTGTTTTCTTTCTATTTTGATTTTTTAATATATATTTCTAGGGCCGGCAGAGTGGCGCGTTGGTTAAGAGTTGGCTGGGGATGCCAGCTCTGAGCAGCAGGACCCCGGTTCAGATCCCACATGAGGGCCAGTGACGCTGCGCCCTCTACAGCTAAGATGATGAACAACAGCTCCACCTAGAGCTGGGCTGTCTGTCATAAGTCGCTGGTGACGGTGTGGGTTGCAGTGGGGCTGGCCGGCAGTCAGCATGAGCTTCCGTGAGCCACTGTGAGCAGCTGTCCAATGGCCGGCGAGCAACTGCCTCACCCGGGAAGAGTGCAATGATAATACCAACATGGGCCAGTGAAGCGACATCCTCCACAGCTAGACTGAAGAAAAAAAGGACAGCAGCTTGTCTGTTCCCCTTCCCCCAATTCCCCAGCATTGTTCCCCTCCCCCAATTCCCCAATAAAATCTTTAAAAAATAATAAATATATATATAAATATATGTATAATTACTTTATCATATGACTTAAATTTTATAGAAAACTTCTATTTTTAACCAAAGCTAAACACAAAAGTTTAATTGTAAAAAGAAGGCATTACTAAGTTATACCCCATTTATTTAACTTAGATCCACCAACTAAGAAGAAATCTGGTACCTTAGGCTGACTTTCTTTGTGCTGGTAGTAAACAGATTAAGGGTAAAGGCAAGAGTGAATAAACTATTTTTGGGACACTGACAAACAGTTTTAATGATGTTAGAGAGCAAGGTGCTAGTTACAAATATTTCTGAGAATCTGATCATTAAGCACTTTTGAGAATACAAAAGTTCTTTCTTTTCCTCATCCTGTTATTAATATTCTTAAATTCAAGTAAAAATTAAGCAAAATGTGTAGAAAATAAAGCTTTATTTCTTTGAAAGTCATCAACAACAGCATTCTCATGCTTTTTGCCAAAGTGACATTGACCCTCTCCTACTTAGAGGCTTTATATTGTTTTCTAATTGGGGGAATTGTCTACCAAAAGAAATAGGACACTTATTACTATAAATTCACAATGGAAAGGTAAAACCCCATTGTGTGTATGCACAATTGTTGTTTTAAAGATTTCTTTTCATTCCACCCAGACTGGCTGAGAGCTTAATTAGAAGCTCCTGCTTGTGAACCTTTCTTCTCTTCCTAAATAAATGGAAAGCTTATTAAAATAAAAGCCCTCTACCCTCTCATTTTGAGGGATGGCCAACTTCAGATAATCACCTGTTGGTGGCTGCAGATTGTAAGTCGGTGTTTCTCTCGTAAGCCTCCAGCTGGCCAGGACTGGCCATGGGCGCTCAGCGCACGGAAGGGTGCTCAGTGCTTGCATCCCGGCCTCCGTCCCTGACACCCACAGCCGCTTTCATCAGCAGAGGCTCAGCCATCTGAAGAATCTGTCCCTGGCTCTACTGTTTGGCCCTGGCTCTGTGAGATCTCCGAGCAGCTTTCTTCACTCAGTCACAAGTTGTGCCAACAACCCGACAAAGAAACCAGCTCAAAAGTTCAGTGTTCGGACAATGGTCCATTGTTTGGTTTGTCTGAATTCCAACGTCAGACTTGCCTGATTCTTTATATTTTTTTAACCATATTGACCAAATTGGCCTGTTATTTTAACATTATGTAGACTATTTTGGATCACAAAACCTTACTCCCCATTTCTTGCTGGATACGCTTATTCTCGAACGTGTGATTTCTTTGCCTACCAGCAGTATCTTGCCAACTTTTGCCAACAGAGCGTGTGTCCTACCTGCAAAGGATGAGGAAAGGCCTTGAGGGCTGGCCCAAGCTCCCCGGCTCGCTGTCCAGTATCATGAGAAGCTGGCTTTGTCTTCCGTGCTCTCCCGTGTGCTCCATCACCCTGGAACGTGCCCAGAACCCTCAGGCTGTCGAGAGAGACACCCCACCCAGGGGAGCTTCCCTTCTCTCTCCTCTCCTTTGACCTACCCAGCCACCCTGGAGTCCCCATTTCCTCCATCACCCGCAAATGATGCGCATATATCATGGTGACCACCTGGACCCCATCCTCACCTGTGAACCAGGGGCATGAACCCACCAGAGAGTCTTTCGAGGCAGGCCCTGCCACACTGAGGGTGACTCGGCCCTGAGCTCCCTTCCCCTGCACATGCCCACTTGACACTCTTCAAGCTTGTGCAGACCAGGCACTGCTGCTTACAAAGTGCTATCAAGTCCATAGCCGGGCTTGGACTTCACAGAGCCCCTGGGGGACTGACAGGATCAGAACTACCCTCCCATTTTGCAGATGAAAAAACTGAGGCTATTTCTCTTAACCTCAGCAAGGTTAAGTGATTTGCCCCAAGGTAACCAGCTGGGGAATGGCAGCAACGGGCCTCAAACCTAGGTCACTCTATTAAGCCAGAGCTATTCTGAGAGCCGGAGTGTGTCACTAACCCTATTCTAAGGGCCACCTTTGCTCCTTAGGAAGGTGGTCAGAGATCGGGTCTCATAAACCTTAACCCCAGAGCAGTTTCAAAGTTTAATCAAATGAAGTATTGCTGAGGCTGTGTACATAAGAGCCGGAACGTTGCGCATGGAATGAGAAGATTTGGCCTCCACTTTGAGCTCTGCCATGGATTAGATGTGTGAGCTTGGCCAGTGACTCATTCATTCATTCATTCATTCAACAGTTTTTGAATACCTTTAAGTACTGGGCACAGCACCAGGCTCTGAGGAAACAGGATGCAAAACGTCATCAGGTGGCTCGCAGTCTAGTGCGCAGGACAGACAGATATGATGTCATGTGGCAAGAACATCAGAAGAGTCCTGAACCTGTTTCAGATGAAGGAGTTGGAGTAGATAATCTCCAGGACCATCATTCTTCAGTTCTGTAATCATCCAGCCTAGCAAAACTTCCATGATTAATAGCACAATAGGATCAAATATATGGTGATAGAAGGAGAACTGACTCTGGGTGGTGAACACACAATACAAAATATACATGATGTATTACAGAATTGCACACCTGAAATCTATGTAACTATACTAACAATTGTCACCCCAGTAAACTTTAATTTAAAAAAGAAAAAATGAAAGTTACAACTTGATGGTAACTGCCCTCGAGCTCAGGGTCACCTCAAAGCTTGTTAGTGTGCCTTTCATATCCTAAGTCACACCCTCCCCTTGTTGCTCTGGTGTTGGCCACATCTTCATCTCTCTGCTGAATCTCCCTGACAAGAAAGGACCATAATTTGTGAATAGGCTCTAAATCCCCTCCCATACCCACACATGCTCACAGCGATTTCAAGGAATCGTTGGCATGGGACCTGACTCCATTTGTCCCTAAACCTCAATGCTCAGTGGAGACAGATAGGAGGCATCAGGCAGCAGGAGAGCACGTGTTTGCTGCTGGGAAGCAGGCCTGCCAAACGGAGCCCTGGCCTGGGGCACATGTGTGCTGTTCTGGGTCCACAGCAGCCCTGCCCCGAGGACCAGCAGATACCAGGGGAGCGGCTGGTAACCCATGGGCAGATATGTGGGACACTTCCCTGTGATTGGTGAGAGGGAGCCCGAAAGGCTCACTTGGGTCGCCTGGGGCTTTGGAGTTTGGTTCAAGGCCTCTGAGCCTGGAGTCTGGGGTCTCCATTCCCCAAACAGCCAGGAATATGCTGATTGACAGTTCAAAGGCAGCCACTTGAGTCCCACAGAGCTGGGGGATAAGACATTCACATCCACCTCATAGGGGCTTCCCGCCCCACCTCACTGTATTAACCATGGGTTTCTGATGTTTTGACCTCTGGGGCCTTGCTGACCCTGGAGAGTCTGCCCCTCCCAGGGTTAGCTGATTCCTAAAGAGAAAATTCCTAGACAAAACTTGTTAGTGTGCCTTTCATATGCAAACTAACCAACCCAGAACCCATCCCCCCACACACACATACCTCCTCTTGACTCTCACACTTAGAGCCACCATTCCTCCATCCTAATCACCCCAGGACCAGGCACCAGACACCTAGGGGACTGCTTCCACACTCAGCGCCCACTGGACTTATTTAAACTGGCCAATCCAAAGCTTGTTTACCCTGCCTCACCTACTTCTTACCATGGAAACTGCAATAAAGGCTCTTGCCTACGCTTTCCCCTCACTCCCTCTGCTCCCTGACCAACCCTGATGCTTCCCCATGTGGCTCTGCATGGTGTCACCTGCCCCTTCTTCTTGGGATCTGTGAGTAACAAAACATCCTTTCCATCACAGTTGTTTCCTGATCTGTTGGCCTCACCATACCTGAATAATAAATCTACATTTTAAAACACCCCCCAACCCACTTTCTCATGGATAGTCTCTGCCAAAAAACAACCTTTCCTGACCAGCTCCCCTGGCCACTTTATACATATATCTTTATCATAGTTGTTAAGATCACGGTCACCACCTCATCTTGTCTGAGTAAAGGAGATAATAATAGAGTGTGACTAGTTGGAACATGGACACACAGCGAGCTCTCAGCCCCGGGTTTGGCATGTGATGAGGGTTCAGCACATCTTAGCTCTGGTTATGAAACTGACGAATCATCACTTCTGAGTATCTCTAGGTCACCTCTGCATGACCAGGCCAATTCTCATTCCAACGCCCGCTAAATTTCCTACCATTCCTTTGAGCAGTATTCGGCTACCTAATAAACTCCAGCTCTGGTTATGAGAGGCCTTTGGAAATCTCCCCTTTGCTCCTGGGGTGAGTGACAGCGAGTCCCACAGGAGCAGCCACTGCAGCTGCCACTGGGAGGCCTTGGGGCCAAAGCGGTGGGGAAGGCACTGCTGGAGTCTAGTTTCCTGAGAGGTCAGGGAGCTTCAGGTGAGAGGACTCATCCTACCTAAAGAGAGACAAGCTTGTGCAGAATGCTGGTTGCCGAAGACAAAAGGCAAGTCTTTCACTTTGACTTGTCTCTGGACCAACACCTCACAGACTAATTCCTGAGGAGAGAGAGGGGTTATGGGTAAAAACAAAATGAGGCGCATTCTCTCAAAACGCTATACAACGTCAACATTCAGGGCGGCACAACTGATGGAATACAAGAGAATGCAAGCCAGTATTGAACTCCAGTTAGTGGCACACATCGGGAAGAAGGGCTCTGATGAATGTCTCCTGCTGTGAACCGCGTTAAGAACAGTAAGATGGACTGATGGCCGGGCGGACAAAAAGACAGGGAGAAAATGGTGAGGACAAGCTGTATTGGGTGGACCTGCTGATGAACTCCCCGGAGACCGCCCCCCAGGACTCATTTGGGGACCTTGCAGATGTTCTGAATCCTGAATTATGGGGACAAGGGATCCCCAGCTGAAAACACATATAATTTTTAAAACTACTGTACAGATTTTGATAGGAAATTTCAAATCCCGAGCTAAAATTACATTTGTACTTATTCAAGATGAATTTCCCTTTTGTGAAATATTGCTGTCTCTGGGACAGCAGGGTTCACATTATTTAACAAACATTTAGCAAAAGATAGGAAACATTTCAAATTAAATGTTATCAAAGTTCTCTCTTTGATCCATAGCCATTGTTTCATGCTCCCTCTTTTCTGTGATGAGTTAATTCCTATCCAAGGAAGCCCCTGATTCATTCAACTCCCTTAAACTTGGTCTTAGTCACTACAGAATGTGTTTTTGCCAAATTACTGCCACATTACTCCAATTTTCTCTACCAGCAGAAGCCAAGTAATATGAAGTGGACCCCATGACATCCATTCATTCTGCTTCTAATCCATGAGCAAAATAGCTCTGGCGGTTTCTGGAACCATCAGAGTACTTTCCCGATATTAAATATTCTTCCAACTTCTTTTTTCATATCTGAGTGTGAATGACTCAGGAACATTAACTGAATCACCCCCACATGAAACCAAGCTTTAAAACCAACACGAAAAATACATAACTGGTTGACATAGAGGCAAAGATATGAAAGACTAATTTCTTTACATCCATCATGGACAAGATGCTAAGATCTTAATCACCTTGATTCTGTTCATTAGCAATAGGTCTCCTAAACTTCCCGGCAGCCAGCCCTTTCTTACTGTGCAAATCCTGTCCGAGACCGCTGGGCTGCGGGGTGTCAACAGGAAGTTGTGGAGGGAACCCAGCAGACACACGGGCTCTTCCCAGCCGGCAGTGCGCAGGCCCCACCAGGCACAGAGTTCGGTCTCAACTTCCACTCTGACACAGACCACTGCAGGGGGGACTGGGTTTAAATTTGAAACAGACACATGGGGGAGAGGAGATAAAAGGAGACGCCGGCAAATGGGACAGCATCCCGTGCACTTGGCAATAGCAAGTTCCAGGTGGTAGGAACAGGGGCTCCCAGGAGTCCAGGCAGCAGCGTGACCCAGGGAACATGACAAGGTCACAAACTGCACCTCCCCCTGTATTTCAGCTGGTTGAACACAGTGCGGGTTCTCAGTGTTTGCTGCTTAGTTCCGGAGCAGGCTTCCCAGAATGTAGAGTTAGTGTTCAGTGTGTGTGACAAGAGAGGAGCCTCTACTAGTCTCTCTAGTGATGAGACTGTCACCACCACATCACCCCCTCTTAAATCTAACGTCAGTTTGCCACCGATGGTCAGTATTTCACAGTTAGAGGTTTATTCCTTTGACTTCGAGCTTTATCCCCGGCGTAATGCTCATTACTGTAACACTGGTAATGGTAGTTGACACTTGAATAGACATGGGTTCCTGAGAGCCTGTCCTGAAAACACATTTTGATCGGGGGGGGGGAAAGAAATAAAGAGCGAAGGCAGGTTGGAGCCTGGGGTAGAGCCAATAGGCAGATGTGTTACAGAGAAGGGCCTGGGGTGGGGTCAAGGCCTCGGAGGTAGGATTCCCTGGCCTTGATGTTTTATCTGAGCTCTTCCTTATTGACTGGATTACCTGATTTAAGGGCAGAGATAATGAGCTTGTGCTCATACAGAGCATAGGAAAGGGCTCTTTTCCAGGACATTCATTTATTTATTTTTTTTTCTTAACCCTGGCCAGAAACACATAAAAAGAAGATCTTGGCAGGAAATAAATGATCTGCATAACCAATTCTCTCCCCTAGAAGTCAAAGGATGGTGCCTGCTGAGGGATGTCTGGGTCTTAACTTCAAAGGCAAGACGAACTGAATGAGAGGGGCTGCCCCAAGCCCCACCCCCATCCCCAACCCCCCCACACACACCAACCTCAGGTCCTGCAGGAGGGGGAAGGAGACTGCAGGAACACCGACTCAAGGCAAGTCACAGAACCCAAAAGCAACATGAAAGGGGAGTTGAATTTTGAAGTGGATAAAAGTACATTTTAGTCCAAGACATATATGAAAGTTGGGTCTAGTAAATGGAGCAAACAACGAGAAGAAAGGCGGATCCACCAGGGTGGTCCCAGGAGAAATGGAAGCAGCCGGTCACCAAGCACCTGCCAAGCACTGGGCCCGGCCTCTAGTGATGATTCTCCAACAACTCCATGAGGCACAGACGACCATCTTGATTTCACAGGCAAGCAGGCTGAGGCTGAGAGGTTAAATGATTTGCCCGACGCCACATTGCTAGTTAGTGAAACGCTGAGCTATCCCTCCAAAGTGGAAGAGAAAGGATTTATCCAAATGAGGATACACGATTTATTACTCTTAGGAAAATATTATCAAAGGATTATGATTCCTTCTTTCCCAGAGATTGAGAATTCTTGTTTTGGAGCCAACCTGTAAAGCATCCAAGCTGAGCCTGCAAATCTGGAAAAGTCCTATTCTGGGTTACTGATTCACAAGGAGCACCCAGGAACCAGAGCTGCTCACACGTGGACTTCTGTCCCCTCTTCTTCAGTGAACTATGTGGGGAGCTATATTCTGTGGCAGAGCAGGTCACAACTCGCCCCCACTCCACAGATCCGTGGCCTCAACAGAAAAATCCCTGTGCTGTACATGAAGTTTAGGGAAGGTAAGCGTCTGCCCTGGGACTCGGGCATCAGGACAATGCAATCAAACCTAATGAGAAGGCAGAATACAGATTTTGATAGAAAAGCAGATAAATGGTCCCCACTTCCGTGACCCAGAAAGGAGAAGACAAACACTATTTATGTTAAAGATTTAAGCATTGTTAATAATTACTGATGTATTGGACAGCTACTGGGTGTCTAATGTTTACATATACATTTTCAAATGTGGTTAGGGGTGGCTTGGTGGGCAGTAACAGAAGCCCACACAAGCCTGGGGCAAGAGGCGACAGGGAGGTCAGCAGTGAAGACAGGGAACCGAGCTGCGCTGCGAGGAGAATGGGAAAGTCGGCCACTGTAGCCATGAAGCCTCTCCTCTGGGCTTCTCCCCACACACCTGCTCTGAGGGTTGGCTTCCTGGGCCTGCTCAGAGCGCCAACGCCGTCTTAGTTTCAGCTGATGTGTGACTCTGGCTCCTTGTGGCTCTGATCCTGGCTTTGACTTTCCATGACCTGAAAGGTCCAGGGATCAGCTCTCTGACTTTAATTTCTGGGCTTCTTAGTTTCTAATCTCAAGAGACACTCAAACAGGCTCACTTGAGCCTGTGGATTTACCACTGGGCCAAGGGCCTACCTGTGGTCCAATTCGCTATGGAAGAGGGTGACAATAAAACTACATGATGTATTCATGGCCACCTAGAGCCAACCCTGCACCTGGCGGGTGGGCGATTCCAAATTAGAGAGTCGTAGGGCCGGCCGAGTGGCTCAGTTGGTTAAGAGCTCGCTCAAGAGTTTGAGCTCTGAGCAACAGCGGTTCGAGTCCAGCCCGAGCTGAGCTTGCCACTGAGCTGCCAACAGGTGGCAGGATGGCTCAGCTAAAAAACAACAACAACAACAACAACAAAACAAATTAGAGAGTCGTGGCTGGCAAGGTCCTCCAGAACATGTTCACCATATTTTAGGAGGTAGGTATTGTTATTTTCGTTTTATACATAAAGGGAGAGGCTAAAAAAAATTACCAACAGTCACACAATTAACAAGTGTAGAACTGGAATAAACCTAGGTAAGTTTATACCTATTATCTGTTGCTGTGTAACAAATTAGCCCCAAACTCGGTGGCTGAACACGAAAACCATTTTATTTACCCACAGTTCTGTGGGTTGGCCGGGCAGGGTCACTGGAATGCTTGTGTCTGTTCCACATGGTGACATCTGGCTTCTCTCAGGCAGCTGCATTTTTGTCTAGAACAGGGGTCGGCAAACTTTTGAGACAGAAGAGCCGCCAGGGGTCAGCAAACAGCGATTTGCGAGCCGCAGGCTCTGAAGTAAAATTGAAAATGAAAATAAAACTATTATAATTTCATTTATAAAATTTTTAAAGGATATTATTCACATAATGGTGATTATGTAAAAATATATTTATGGCTCTCGAATAATTTTTAAGTTGTTGTGAGGGACAGGGTTGACTCTTCCAGGGGTCGGCAAACTTTTGAGATGGAACGTACCCCAAGAGTCGCATATGGCTCGCGAGCCGCAGTTTGCCAGCCCCTGAGCTAGAAGATCAAAGAAGGCCTTACTCACATGTCTGCCCATCTGCAGGTCCCCCTCTGCTCACGGTTTTTCATCCTCCAAGGCCTTTCTGTTCTGATGGACTCTCCTTTTCCAGGGTCTCTCTCTCTTCACGTGGTTTCTCCAGCAGGATAGGGGGACTTGTGGTGAAACAGAAGCCACAAGATGGACTAAAGCACCGCTCTGGATGTAAAGTAGCATCACTTCCTCTACTTGTTAGTCAAAGCAGGTCAAAGGGTCATACCAGACTCAAGGGGAGGGGCTATGGACGCCACCTTTGGATGGGAGGCGAGACAGTCACATTTCAAAAGGGCATAAGGCCAGGTCAGGATTTCGGTGAGCATCTTTGGACACAATCTTCCACAGAACCCAAAACCCATGCACTTGGTACAATGCCAAGCCCCACCGGGTGGTTGCCAGTGCCCTTCTGATGTCATCAGCTTCTTTCAAAGACAGCCTGCATGCAAGCCAGTGGCACAGGGCTGAATGTGACATCTCCCCTTCAATTATTTAATAAGCTTTGTGTCCTCTGGAGGACTAGCACTAAGCTGGACAACAAGAAGGCACAAGTGAGTCAGACCTGGCCGCCGCCTTCCCAGAGCTGACTGTCTCCTAAGAGGAAAAGGTCTTATATTCAGAGGAACTGAGTAATGTCCAGTCCCCTCGAGAACAATGAGAACTTCTGAAAGCAGGAAGCACATGGGCTGCCAGTTAATCTGGGTCTATGAAGTACCTTATTTTTCTAGGCATTCTGTCAGATTGGGCTACTCAGAGGCCTTAGAAAATAAATCTTTACACTGGGAAGTTATTAAATTCATAATTTTTTTAATGTGATTTGAAAAAGAAAAAAAAATTCTCTCCACCTCTCAAGTTGCAAAGAGCCAGAAACCGAGCTGAGGAGCCAGCAGCAGCAGGAGGCTGGAGGGTACGTTCCATTTATCGACAGCAGATACCAAAACACAAACACGAAGACTCTCAGGAGGAACCCAGCCTGCCTCGACAGTGTCAGGTGGTAGGAGCCAGTCCAGGAATTCCAAAGGTCCCCTGCTGAACCTAAATCCCGCCACTGGCGATGGCACGGAGACCTTCATGCTTGCACGTCTCAGCAGAGCTGGGCACCCGGTAGTCCTCCATCCCTCTCCACGGCTGGTCCTCCCTGCAGCCCTCGGTCCCCAGGACCAACATTGGGACTCCCAGCACATACCCCTTTCCTGCCACTGGTATAAGAGAGAACGTTTGTGCATGAAAGCCCAGTTGCTTTTCTCAACCTACCTGCGACTTTGCCAGAGGGAGCCCTGAGACTCACCCCAAGGCTGCTATGTATGCCCCCATCTATTCCTGAGGTCGCCCTGTGTGCCAGGCATAGAGCTATTCCAGAAACACAGAAATACAGAGGCCTTTCTCTCAGGAAGCTTGCAGCCTAGCAGAGCATAAGGAATATGAATTTCTATGTGGGAACTAAAGAATATCTGGAAGTTCACCATCTATCACCCAGCAGTGTTCCGTTCCTTTTAAATTATGAAACTTGCTGGTTTTCGCCTATGTGTGTGAACACGCTGTGTCCTCAAAGGTTTTTGTAGGTGGTAAATCACAGCTGGAGGTTCAGGCTCTTGCTGCCTGTTAGTGGAAAGGTGCCTGAAGGGCTGATCTCTGAGCTGCTGCCAAAATTACAGTAAATAAATAATCAGCCCGTCCAGACATGTGGGAACCAGGCTGCAGAAGTGAAGATGAGACCTCATAGCCACTGGGATTTCAAGGGCTTATCTGACACTGACGGCTTTTACCAAAGGACTTTATAATTTGCAGCTGGGATACTTTATATGAGGAAGTTGGCCTTGCCATAACCTCGTGGGTCTAATTACCAAATGCTGGATGTGCTTGGTGATGGGGGGCCTGAGAAGGAAGTGAAGCACAGGGAAAATTATTGCAGAGGTCAGATTAGGATTTCCGCAAGGCTGCCTTCCTGCTACAGAGGCATCTACACAATTATTCATTTTACCTGAACGGATCCAAATTGGGTATTTTATTCATTGTGGAGTAAACGATGGGGTGGCGTTATCTTGTGTCTGGCTAACCTGAGAAGACGCATTGCCACCATGTGCCTTTCGTCCCCCCATGCCTTCTCCCAGCCTTCTCTCCTTCTCCCCACCTCCCTTTGCTTCGCTCACCCTCTAGATGTCATCTCCCCCTTTTTATCTTGGATTGCCCTCAAAATGCACATGAACTCTTTTAAAGATAACATAGGAAGCTATTTCTTCAGGAAACTTCAAGCCTGGTGCCTAGTAGGCCTCTTACATCAAGTTCCAGAAGCTGATGAGGGTCTCCTTAGTTCTGAAAACAGCTCAAGGCATAGCTTAGAATAGTCTTTGTAGGATATTTTCCAGCAACAAATCAGCTGTCTCTCCTGGGAGACTCCAGTTGCAAGCCTGAGTAATAACCAAAGATTCCATTGGAAGTCATGTTGTTCCCACTGAGGACATTCCTGGACCCAACCTTCTGACAGTAAAATGCTTTTCCAGTGGCAAAAAAAATCTGACCAGATGGCCAAATGGAGCTGGTAAATCTTAGGGAACGAAAAGTTATTTCAGTTAAAGAACCAAAGATGCTACTCAAAATAGCCTCAGTGTTTCCTTCTCTAGCTCCTCAGCAGTCATGATGATGCACAGGTGATAAGGTTTATCTCTAAGGCATTTAAAGTAATGCTAATGGAGTGAAGTCAGTTGATGATACACTTCACTGACACAAACCACTATTCCAAAACGAAACTGAAAATCCACGGTGCTGCAGAAGAAGGTCAAACAAATATAAGCTTGCTCCAGGGCCACAGGCTGAGTGAAGGACTTTGAGGACAAGTGCCCCTAAATGCCTTCTCCAGATAACTTCTATCCTTGGGACAAGGGAGGGGCATCTGAACAAAACCCTGCTGGCGACTGTAGTGCAGGTAACCGCTCAAGCGCTGACCTTAGAGAGGCCCTGCCAGGAGCGTGTTCCTGAATCAGAGAAGTCATGAAAAATATTGGCCCTCAGGGACCAGAAAGAGCTTCTAATAGGAAGTTTTGAACAAAAATCCTTCACAGTTCTCAGGTTCACTGGAGGGCTGAGCCTTGTGCTCAGAGGACAATGTAAGCACCTATGCCCAGACCCAGAGCAGCCCTCAGGTGTGGCACTGCTGACTCACTCACCTGGAGCCCTTGCTGCCACTCACACATGGAAGTGGAAAGGACAAGGAAGCTCTCAGAACTCAGGGTTGTGACCAAGAAGTGAATAATTAAAAAAATAATAATAACTCCATCTGCCTTCCATGGCCATAGGACTTTCTCATTTTTCCCACCTGTGTACCTGTCCTGTCCCTGATACTGAGGGAGAGTCTTGTTTGAGGTGGGACCTGTAACAGTTGTAAAGCATGGCTTCAAGTGCTTTGACATTCTTTTCACTGAAGGTGAGGCCTCTTTCCCCTTGACTGTGGAGAAGTCTGTGATAGCTCTGACTGATAGAAGATGATGGAAGTGGACTCCAAGGCTGGGTATAAAAGGACTATTGACCACAACATTTACTCGTAGAGCTCTGAGCCTCCAGGTCACAAGTCTGACCACCCTGGGGCCATCATGCTTGGAGGAAACCTAAGCCACACAAAGAGGCCACATGTTGGCACTCTGGTAGGGACCCTTCTGAGCTGAATTTCCATGGCATCCCAGCACCAGATGTGTGAAGAAGCCGCCAGACTAGCTCCAGTCACCCAAATCCCTCTCAGACATTCCAGTCCTCCCAGATGAGACCTCAGACACTGTGGAGCAGAGATAAGCCATCCTTAGTGTTCCATATTTAAATTCCTGTCCCACAGAATCCATAAGCTTCATAAAATGCTTCTTGTTTTAGGCTACAGTAATCAAAACAGCATGGTATTGGCATAAAAACAGATACATAGATCAATGGAACAGAATAGAGAGCCAGAAATAAGTCCATGCCTATATGGTCATTTACTCTATGACAATGGAAGCAAGAATTTACATTGGGGTAAAGAATGTCTATTTAATAAATGGTGCTGGGAAAACTGGATGGATACATGCAAAAAAATGAAACTGCACCACTTTCTTACACCATATCCAAGAATAAACTCAAAATGGATTAAAGACTTAAATGTAAGACCCAAAACCATAAAACTCCTAGAAGAAAATATAGGAAATAAACTTTCAGACACTACCCTTAAGTAATATTTTCATTGATATGTCTCCTTAAGCAAGGTAAACAAACAAAAAAATGAACATATGAGACTACATCAAACTAAAAAGTTTTTTCACAGCAAAGGAAACCATCAACAAAACAAAAAGACATCCTACTGAATGGGAGAAGATATTTGGCAATGATACATCTGATGAGGTTAATATCCAATTTATAAAAAATTCATACAATTCAACACCAAAAATACAAACAACCCAGATCAAAAATGAGCAGAGGACATGATTAGACATTTCTCCAAAGAGGACATACAGATGACCAATAGACATATGAAAAGACGTTCAATGTCAGTAAGCATCAGAGAAATGCAAATAGAAACCACAATGAGATACCACCTCACTCCAGTCAGAATGGCTGTCATCAATAAATCAACAAACAATAAGTGTTGGTGAGGATGTGGAGAAAAGGGAACCCTTGTGCACTGTTGGTGGGACTGCAGATTGGTGCAGCCACTATGGAAATCAGTATGGAGGTCCCTCAAAAAATTAAAAATAGAACTTCCTTATGACCCAGCAATTCCACCCCTGGATATTTATCCAAAGAAATCCAAAATGCTAATTTGAAAAAGTATATGCACCCCTATGTTTACTGCAGTGCTGTTCACAATAAACAAGATAGGGAAACAACTGAAATGCCCATCAATAGATGATTTGATAAAGAAATTGTGGTACAGTATGGGATTACATCAAACTAAAAAGTTTTTTCACAGCAAAGAAAACCATCAATAAAACAAAAAGGCATCCTACTGAATGGGAGAAGATATTTGCCAATGATACATCTGATAAGAGGTTAATATCCAAAATTTATAAAACACTCATTCAACTCAACACCAAAAAAACAAACAACCTAATTTAAAAATGAGTGAGGACATGAAGAGACATTTCTCCAAAGAGGACATACAGATGGCCAACAGACATGAAGAATGCTCAACATCACTCATCATTAGAGAAGGCAAATAAAAACCACAATAAGATACAACCTCACTCCGGTCAGAATGGCTATCACCAATAAATCAACAAACAACAAGTGCTGGCGAGGATGTGGAGAAAAGAGAACCCTGGTGCACTGTTGGTGGGACTGCAGATTAGTGCAGCTATTATGGAAATCAGTATGGAGGTATCTCAAAAATTGAAAATGGAACTACCTTATGACCCAGCAATTCCACTCCTAGGTATGTATCCAGAGAAATCCAAAACACTAATTGGAAAAAATATATGCAGTGCTATTCACAATAGCCAAGCCTTGGAAACAACTGAAATGTCCATTGGTTGATGACTGGATTAACAAACTGTGGTACATTTATACAATGGAGTATTACTCAATTGTAGGGATGGGGGAGAAGCAAAGCGATAAGAAAGTACAAATTAGTAATC